CCACCGCAGCAGCAGCAGCAGCGCAGGCGGTGTGTGTCTCTCTCCGTCTGCCGCTGCCTCCGTCGATCCGTGAGCCGGCCGCCGTAACAGCGATCGCCTTTACTCGGCAGCAGCATCAACAGCAGCAGTATCAGCAGTAACAGCAGCATCAACAGCAGCAGTATCAGCATCAACAGCAGCAGCAGTATCAGTAGTAGCAGCAACAGCAGCAGTAGCAGCAGCAGCAATAACAGCAGCAGCAGTAACAGCAATATCAGCATCAACAGCAGCAGCAGTAACAGCATCAACAGCAACAGAATCAGCAGTAACAGCATCAACAGCAACAGTAACAGCATCAGCAGTATCAGCATCAACAGCAGCAGCAGTATCAGCATCAACAGCAGCAGCATCAGCATCAACAGCAGCAGTAACAGCATCAGCAGGAACAGCAGCATCAGCGACAGGAGGAGGAGCAGCAGCAGGGCGAGTCGTTACCGGCTCGGCGGACCAGAATAGCTTTGTGCCTGCAGCTGTTAGCGCTGCTGCTGCTGTTGAGTAGTGGTGTAGTGGTGTTGTTGAGTAGTGGTAGTGTTGGTGGTGGTGTAGTGGTGTTGGTGGTGGTGTAGTGGTAGTGGTGTAGTGGTAGTGGTGGTGTAGTGGTGGTGGTGTTATTGGTGGTGGTGGTGGTGTTGGTGGTGGTGTAGTGGTAGTGGTGTAGTGGTGGTGGTGTTATTGGTGGTGGTGGTGCAAACACCGCCCAGCGATGGATCCCGCGAAGGATGATGAGTATGAGCAGCAGCAGAAGCAGGAGCAGCAGGAGGAGAGCGACGTGGGGAGAGCTGCCGTCGAAACTCGCCAGTCGCAGGACGATGGCGTTCACGCTGAAGATGGTGGTGGTGGTAGTGATGGTGGTAGTGATGGTGATGATGGTGGTAGTGATGGTGGTAGTGGTAGTGATGGTGATGATGCGGACGATGATGAAGTTGCCGATGATGACGACGATGACGACGAAGATGAAGAGGGCGATGATGGCGATGCTGGAAGGGACGACGGCGATGATGGCGATGATTCGACAGCGGCGGTGGGAAAAGATGCGCAGCCTCCTCGACTTTGGTGAGTGGTGGTGTGGTGAGTGTGGTGGTGGTGTGGTGAGTGGTGGTGGTGTGGTGAGTGTTGGTGTGGTTAGTGTGATGAGCGGTGATGTGGTGGTGTGGTGAGAATTGGTGGTGAGTGGTGGTGTGAGGGTGGTGGTGTGGTGTGTGGTGAGTGGTGGTGTGAGGCTGGTGAGTGGTGGTGTGGTGAGTGGTGTGGTGAGTGGTTGTGTTGGATGTGGGGAGCGTTGGTGTGGTGAGTGGTGGGGTGGTGAGCGGTGGTGGCGTGGTGAGTGTGGTGTTGTGAGTGTGGTGTTGTGAGTGTGGTGTGGTGAGCATTGGTGTGTGGTGAGCAGTGGTGAGCGGTGGCGTGGTGAGGGTGGTGGTGGTTAGTGGTGGTGGTGTTGAGTGGTGGTGTGGTGAGCATTAGTGTGGTGAGGGTGGTGGTGGTGAGCGGTGGTGTGGTCAGGGTGGTGGTGGTGAGTGGTGGTGTGGTGAGCATTAGTGTGGTGAGGGTGGTGGTGGTGAGCGGTGGTGTGGTCAGGGTGGTGGTGGTGAGCGGTGGTGTGGTCAGGGTGGTGGTGGTGAGTGGTGGTGTGGTGAGGGTGGTGGTGGTGAGTGGTGGTGTGGTGAGGGTGGTGTGGTGAGCGGTGGTGTGGTGAGCATTAGTGTGGTGTGCTTGCGGTGTGAGCGCTGCGCTCCGAATCCAGCGACCCGAGTTCGATTCCCACCCACGGCCACCACCAACACCACCACCACCACAACCACCAACAACAACAGCTGACAAACACCCCCCCCCGTGTCGCCTCGAACAAATCGATCAGCAGCAACCACATCCACCTAATGAAGGCCGGTCAGGGGGCTTGGTGTGGCTGACCCACCACGCACCTGGCCGCCTTCATCTCTCTTGTGTTGTGTGTTCCCCGGTGCCGATGTTAAACACACACACACACCGGTTACTCGCTTGAGGCTGAGTCGACCTAGACGGGATTCTGTTTGTCGCGGCGCAGCGCTAACCACTGCGCCACCGCTCCCCGCGGACAGCATCTCACATTGACAGGCGAACAGGCAACACCCTTCACGTGTACAGTACAAAGATCAAAGATCCCCGTGTAGCCTTAACAGACTGTAAGGGCAAGTGTTGTTATAGCGAGCACCTATGAAGGCCGGAACGGTACACGAGGGGGTGGGTGGTCAGCACCACGCCCGGCCGCCTTTGTCTCCCTAGTGGCGATGTTTACACATCGAATCAGGTTCTCATTTGAGGCTGAGTCGACCTAGGGGAGGCCCAGGAGCGGTTCAGATCATCGTCACTGTTGGTGTTGGCCGTGAGCGGGAATCGAACTCGGGTCGCCGGGTTCGTAGCGCAGCGTAGCGCTAACAACTACACTACCGCTCCCCACACACGCAGACACACACACGCAGACACACACACGCAGACGCACACACGCAGACACAGCCAGACACACACACACGCAGACGCACGCAGATACACACACAGTCACACAGACACACACGCAGACACACACACAGACACAGCCAGACACACACACACAGACACAAAGATCCCCCGTATAGCCTTAACAGACTGGACACACACACAGACACACACACAGACACACACACACGCAGACACACGCAGACGCACAGACACACACACAGACACACGCAGACGCACAGACACGCACGCACGCAAACGCACGCAGACACACACAGACACACACACACAGAGACACACACGCAGACACACACACGCAGACACACGCGCGCACAGGCAAAGATCACCCGTATATCCTGCGTAGACTGTCGGGGCAAGTTGCCATCAAGGGCCGGAACTGCAACACGACAGGGGTGGGTGGGTGGGTGGCCAGCACCACGCCCGGCCGCCTTTGTCTCTCCCCAGCGGTGATGGGGGTTTTGTTGTTGTTTGTTTTGTTTGTTTACACGTCGCAAGCCGCTCTCTCGCGATGTCGGGGAACGACCTCCGGGTCCGCCTTTGTCTCCCTTCCAGTGGGCAATGTTTACACGTAGCACCGGCTACGCATTTGAGGCGGAGTCGACCTAGGGGAGGCCCACCACTGGCTGGGTATCAACATCATCGGCAATTGGGGAGACAAAGGTGACCGGGCGTGGTGCTGACACCCCCCCCCCCCCAATCCCATCTCGCGGACTTGATAGGTGCTACTCGCGGAGAGCACTTGCCCCAGCAGTCTGTTGAAGGCTACACGGGGGACCTTTGTCTGTGTTCGTGTGAGAGCGAGAGAGAGATGATGTTGACTACCTCGCCCGGTGTACAGGAGGTCGTGACCTCGCTGTGTGTGAGCCAGACTCTTGGGGAATCTCAGATGCGTGGTGAGATGTTGACTACCTCGCCCGGTGCACAGGAGGTCGTGGCTTCGATCCTGACCCCGACGATGCCACGGTGATGGGTGCTTCTCACGAACGGCACTTGCCCCCGCAGTCTGTTGAAGGCTACACAGGGGACCTTTGTCTGTGTTTGTGTGTCACGCTTGGCTGCGTCGTTTGCACGGCGTGCCGTGCAACGTGACGTCCATGGGCCCAGTTGCCACGCGCAGAGGGGCGGCTGCAATAGGTTACGTGGCGAGCGCAGAGGAAGAACGAAAACACAGCAACAAAAACCACCCGCCCGTTGTACCGTACTTCTATGCGCTCCCGCAAAAAAAACATTGCCCCGAATGGTGGTGGGGGTGGGGTGGGCAGCAAACCACGCCCGGCCGCCTTTGTCTCCCTTGGTGCCGATGTGGTTTTATTTGTGAGCGGTGGCAGCGGCGATTTAATTATCGGCGCTGAGCTCCCGATTCTGGCTCGCCACCGATTAAACACGGTGGCTGATCAGAACCGAACCGGTGCTGGGCCTCCCCTAGGTGGACTCGGCCTCCAAAAGAGTATCCGGTGGGGTGTGTGTTAAACATCAGCACCGGGGAGACAAAGGCGGTCGGGCGCGGTCCTGGCAACCCACCCCCCCCCCGTGTGCCGTTCCCAGGTGCTGCTACTGCTGCCACACGCAAACAGCACTTGCCCCAATAGTAGTCTGGCGAAGGCTATACGGGGGATCTTTGTCTTTGTAGGGACGGTTTGGCAGGGATTGACACTGCGCCTCCTCACATGAGTTGGACTCCCCCACCCCGCCCCTCTCTGTCTCTCCCTGTCTCTCCCCGTCTCTCTCTCCGTGTCTCTCTCCCCGTGTCTCTCCAACTCTCGTGTCTCTCCCCGTGTCTCTTTTTTTTTACGATCAGTGGAAACAAGAAGATGCTCGGTGTAGTTGGCACTTTGCTTCGTTCATCATTTCTCTCTCCCCGTGTCTCTCAACGTGTCTCTCCACGTGTCTCTCGCCGTGTCTCTCCCCCCGTCTCTCTCCCTGTCTCTCTCCAACTCTCGTGTTTCTCCCCGTGTCTCTCTCCCCGTGTCTCTCCCCGTGTCTCTCCGCGCCCCGGGTGGAAGAGTTCCTGCGCGTGGTGAGAGCGGGGAATGTCGCCTCGCAAGATTCCCACCGCACCACCACTCTCTTCTCTTTCTCACCACCACCACCACCCTCTCTCTCACTCACCAACACTCTCACTCTCACTCACCACCACTCTCTCACTCACCAACTCTCTTGCTCGCTCACCACCACCACCACTCTCTCACTCACCACCACTCTCTCACTCACCAACACTCTCTCTCACTCACTCACCACCACTCTCTCACTCACCAACACTCTCACTCACACTCACCACCACTCTCTCACTCACCAACTCTCTTGCTCGCTCACCACCACCACCACTCTCTCACTCACCAACACTCTCTCTTCTCTCACTCACCACTCTCTCTCACCACTCACCAACACTCACTCACCACTCACCAACACTGTCTCACCACTCTCTCTCTCTCACCACACCCCATGGCTCCCACCTCCCACGCACCCAACAAGCCAGATGATTGGTAACCTTTGTGGGTACCACGTGGGTTGGGCTTCGATGCCCCCGCTCACGGCCACCAACAACGAAGCCCTCAACGGGTCCTGGGCCTCCCGTGCCTCGGTCGAGCGCCCGGTGCGATGTGTACAACCATCGCCGCTGGGGAGACAAAGGCGGCCGGGCGCTGTCTATGGCCCCACCACCCCCTCGTGTGCCACAGTGCACTTGCCTGGCAGTCTGTCAATGTCTATACGGGGGATCTTTGTCTGTATGACGGAATGGTTGTGACAGGCTGCGCGTGTGTGTGTATCGGACAATTTCCCATTGTGGCACAGCGATCTTTTAGACGGCGTTTCGGGCCATGGACTCTTTTTCATGGCACGCAGTTGTTTAGGCTCGGTGGGGGGGGGGGGGGTTGTTGGGGGTTGGGGTTTGGTGGGGGTGTTGGGGGGGAGGGTTGGTGAGGGGGGTGTTGGGGGGTGGTTGGTGGGGTGAGGTTGGTGGGGGGGGTTTGGTGGGTGGGGTTGGTGGGGGGGGGGGGTTGGTGGGGGGGGGTTGGTGGGGGGGGTTGGTGGGGGGGGGGTTGTTGGGGGTTGGGGTTTGGTGGGGGTGTTGGGGGGGAGGGTTGGTGAGGGGGGTGTTGGGGGGTGGTTGGTGGGGTGAGGTTGGTGGGGGGGTTTGGTGGGTGGGGTTGGTGGGGGGGGGGGTTGGTGGGGGGGGGGTTGGTGGGGGGGGTTGGTGGAGGGGGGTTGTTGGGGGTTGGGGTTTGGTGGGGGTGTTGGGGGGGAGGGTTGGTGAGGGGGGTGTTGGGGGGTGGTTGGTGGGGTGAGGTTGGTGGGGGGGGTTTGGTGGGTGGGGTTGGTGGGGGGGGTTTGGTGGGTGGGGTTGGTGGGGGGGGGGGTTGGTGGGGGGGGGGTTGGTGGGGGGGGTTGGTGGGGGGGGGGTTGGTGGGGGGGGGGTTGGTGGGGGGGGGTTGTTGGGGGTTGGGGTTTGGTGGGGGTGTTGGGGGGGAGGGTTGGTGAGGGGGGTGTTGGGGGGTGGTTGGTGGGGTGAGGTTGGTGGGGGGGGGGTTGGTGGGGGGGGGTTGGTGGGTGGGGTTGGTGGG